TCTTCGTAACCACTTTTTCACATATTGGCACTAGATATATTTCATGCTCACTCTTGTCGATAAACACAACGCGACGCATTCTAATACACAAACAATAGAAGTAAGCACAAACGTTTGACAGAAAGTCCAGAGCCAGCGACGTCCGGGAATAGTCTACACTATAAACAAGACATTTTCCAAAAATATCTTTGTAACTCCAGCAAAATTCTGTACCTACTTTTCCATGACCAAAGAAATTACTCTTTCTCAGCGGTACCACTGAAAATGGTTTATTTTAACATGGAACAGGAAAATAAGATCTGCATATGAAACACATGTTGTGCCTATCTAAAACAAATCAAATAGGCTTACTAGCTTCTACACGCTAAAGCAACTAAAATCTCTCATCAGCAAAACACCTCGTCAGTTAAATGCCATTTTACGTTTCATTACTATGATACAGTATTTATTATCAATATAGTTTTACTATTTTGGCGATTAGATAAAATATACATTTTATTTGATGCAACTTTAGTTACATTTCCATGACTTTTCCAAAACTTTGGGAAAAATATTGTTTTCCATAACTTTTCCAGGGCCTGGAATTAGCATTTTGAATTTCCATGACTTTTCCAGGTTTTTAATGACCGTAAGAACCCTGTATAATTTATAAATGCACCTTACCCATATAGCCCTAACTAAAGCACTTATTTAGAATATGACTAAGAAGTCTACACGGTTGAGTTTTAATTAAAAATCATGGATCAAACATTGTAAAAGCACTCAGTGTTTTTTGGCACACATCTGAATTAGAGATGGCAAATCCAGATCCTTTTATAGACTTGGAGTCTTATGAGTCAGTCATTGAAGAGATCCGGATCATACGAGTCATTTGGGTCATATGAGTCAGCATCACCAAGACAGTAGAAATCCTACCGGTGAAACCGAAAAGTTGTTGCATTTCACGAGCATATTAAACTGACCTTATATTAACCTCCGCTACACAGTGCTTTTTGCTTTAATAAAAAATGCTGATCACAAAAAAAAAGGGTTATTTTGTGATTTGGCGAATCTGAGTCTGCTGTTGACAACAGCATGACAACGAGTCTGCTGGATCTCTGGATCTGCTGCTATACGTTTACGGCTCTGAGTCCCCATGAGTCTGCAGGAAGTTTCACTGATCCGCGTACCCTCCCCTGAGCCAAACGATAACTTCTGGAAGCTATTGCTAAAGGCTAGGCAGATGGACTGGGGTACGTTGTAATGTTATTTTACATGTCATAAAGAGAGTAGCGAGTGACGCAATTGATAGTTTTAATTTGTACGTCAAACCAGGTGTAGGACTCAAAGGACTCGGGTTAATGGAGAGGGGAGACTCGTCACGACCAGCTCATTTCTAGGATCCGGGTTAATGATCCGGATGAATCAGGACTCGCCCATCTCTAATCTGAATACAGGTTTACTGGGTATTAGTTCTCATTATCTTCAAAGAGTGGACAAGAGTTATGTTCTTTACCTGTAGCTAATAGTCATTTTATTTGTGCTGTCTTCATGACATGACAACATGGATTATTAAATATATATTTTGTAAAAAAATGAGAAAAGTATGATCTCCCTTTTGAGTAAAAAACTAAAGTATTCTTCTAGTCTACTCCAAACTATCCCAAGATGTGAAATCCTGCCTGAACACCGTCAGGTTAAAAGGTGCAGAGAAGCTGCTGTGGGGTTGTTTATTGAGAGGCTAGTCAGTATAGGTGTTGATGTCCTGGTGTTACTCACTGTTCTCTCTGACCAGGCAGAACTCCAGGGTGCTCTGGCTCTCCAGCGTAGCGTCCAGATCTACGGACACATTCGGCTCCGTCTGCTTCTCCAGGCGATACATGGGACCTGTTGGACGATGATGGAGTCAGATCATAGCTTAGCGTTTTCTAAATTTAAATCAAAATTAATTTCCTGTCGTGCTGGATGTGAGACAACCAAACTTACAAATGACATTGGGATCAATAAAGTATCTATCCATCCATCTCAAGAGTGGGGGAGGTAAATGACGCAAGAAGTGTTTTTACCTGAGCCTATCTGTGAGCCTTTCCTCTTCTTAAGTGCTTTCTGGAGAATGTCCTTCATGGTGACCTTCAGACTGTCCACAGGGATTAAGGAGAAACCATGAGCAGCATTTCTGTAATAGAAAAAAAAACAAGAAAAAGCTTAAGAAGGCCTCTCCAGCTTTATTTAAATCATCCAGACATACAGTGAACACCTGAGAGAACAACCAAAGACATCTGGCTTCTTCCGTTCGCCTGAATACTCATTCTTCTCTTTGACTACTGGGAAATCTGACAATAGTTATCTGTCGAGCCTCTGGACCGCACACAATTCATATGGAAATAAAAACAATGTCTAAACGTGCAAGAGGAGAGGATCATGAAGCAGCAGAGTCAATGCTTTCAGAACTCAAACCAAATGACAGTGTGTAGAAAACACATGAAAATATTAGTAAGAGACGTTTATCTCTCCAAATGTTTTTCCATCCAAGCTACACGACTACAAATATTAAAAAAGACAGAAGGAAACCCTTGTGTTGGGGTCAGCAATGAGAAGGTTTGACATGGTGATCATGGAAGCTATATCCCTTAATAATAATAATAATAATAATAATAATAATAATAATAATAATACTCACTATGGCCTTTGACCCCTAACCCCCCTGCTTCAACTCCCACTGCTATTTATTTAATTGTTTTACTTTATTATTTGCCAAACTTGTTTGTTTGTTCAAGGTTCTTCATTTTGTCATACACACATAGCTACAGTGTAGTTATTCAGATCTTAGGTCACAGGCTCCTCCAACAGAGCAACACAATAACACAGATGAACAGACCAAACAAAGCCTCCTTATTTTAAATATTACTGCCGAACTTTATTCCATTCTATTTCTATGTAAATACTGCAATATGTTACATATTTTTTATTATTTCAAAATTTTGTATGGTTATTTTTTTATGTATGACATCAAGTCAAGTTCCTCGTATGTGTGAACTTACCTGGTAATAAACCTGATTCTGATTGGGTCCCAGCCGGGTTATGGCTAGAAAGGATCCGTCTTGTGTAAAACTCTCGCGAGAGTTTGCAAGTCACGTAGCTGAATGTTTACGTTTGGCAGGCAGCCTTTCAGTTACGATCGTTAACATCAGTTGGCCACAGCAAATGATGGTGAGAAGCTAAACTATCTATTAATTATGTCAATGACAGGGAGTGTGATTGTTGAAATAGGGTGTTAGCGGTCTTGCTGTTCAAAGAAGAATGACAACACTGAAGATCACCAACACTATGGTTTATTTTTTATTCACAGGCAAGTCAACGTTGTCACAGTAAAAGTCCCAAGATAGCTCCGGGTGCAATAAAATGTTCCCTTGCAGTGTTTTACTATTATGTCTGATGTTTCTCTATTAATATTACTGCTGCATTGATGTGTATGTTGCATGTTACTTCTGTAGATGTGTTTCCGAGCCGCTCCAACGAGAGTTACAACGAGAACGTGACGTCAAATTTACACAAGACGGATCCTTTCTGGCCATAACCTCCCTGGAAAGGCTCTATAATAAATGTAATCTATTATTATTAAGCTATATTCCTTGATATACATTGAGGACATTTACATATTCACACTTACTGATGGTGGTGGTCTTTCTTACTTACATTCTGACAAACAGTGACTCTCTGGAAGCGAGGCCAGGCGACGAGTATTTCTCCACCAAGGCCAGCGTGCTGAATCCAAACTTGTGGATTGGTTCGTTGGAGTCCAGCGGAGGGAAGTCGGTGTCCACCTCGCCATCATCCTCAGCGATGTGCAGGCAGTAAGCAGTCACATTATCACTGAGCACAGAGAGGCAGAGTGTAAGAGGAACTGACGCTCGGTGAAACGTTCCGTGTTAAAATGTGTTAGCACCAGATGTGGGAAGTAGTGGAGTACAAATACTTTGTTACTGTACTCAAGTACATGTTTCTGGTATCAGTACTTTACTACTTATTTTTCAGACTACTTTTTACATTTTGAACACAAATACCTGTACTTTCTACTTCTTACATGTTGAACCCAAATACCTGTACTTTCTACTTCTTAGATGTTGAACACAAATACCTGTACTTTCTACTTCTTACTATGTTGAACCCAAATACCTGTACTTTCTACTTCTTACATGTTGAACACAAATACCTGTACTTTCTACTTCTTACATGTTGAACCCAAATACCTGTACTTTCTACTTCTTACATGTTGAACACAAATACCTGTACTTTCTACTTCTTACATGTTGAACCCAAATACCTGTACTTTCTACTTCTTAGATGTTGAACACAAATACCTGTACTTTCTACTTCTTACATGTTGAACACAAATACCTGTACTTTCTACTTCTTACATTTTCCAAACAGGCTGGTTCCTTTAGTTTGAATGTGTGTTTGGTGGCGTGATCATTATTATTTAGAGTCATTGCGTGCCTATTGATTTGAACACGATCCGTGTATCCATCATTTCCTGGTCTTCTCTAAAGAAGAGGGACCAATGAAAACGTTGTCATGTTGCCGTTGTTCAGCATGGAAACATTCATTAGCTAACAATGACATTATTGTTCTATTAATATAAAGGGAGGTCAGGTACTCTTTAAAACAGCTGCTAGTTATGGTTACTTTTTACTGAAGTACATTTCAAAGCCTCTTTACTTTGACTTGAGTAAAGAAGTTTAGTCAGTACTTCTACTTTCACCAGAGTATTTTTAAACACGAGTATCTGTACTTCTACTTGAGTAAAGGATGTGTGTACTTTTGCCCTCTCTGGTGAGCACTCACTTGAGTTTGGGTTCTCGTCCCTCGCTCGTGTACTGCCAGCAGATGAGGCCGATGAGGTCGTGCACGCGGGCGTTAGCGATGGTCACCACTGTCATGGGATGCAGCTTCTCCTGGGCCAGCTGCATTGAGAGGTAGACGTCTATCTTCTTGGTAGCCGTTGTGCCAATGTGGCCCTGAAGAGGTGAGAAGACAAGCAGAGGGAAATCCATGATGAGAGAAACATACTCAGCATATGCTAAGCTACACTTTAGCATGCACTATAGATAAGATCAAATATCTTCTTGGTCGAATGCACTTATTGTAAGTTGCTTTGGATAAAAGCGCCAGCTAAATCCAATGTAATGTATTAAAATGGAACTTCATTTATCTCCGTGGGGAAATTCAGGCGTTTATAGCAGCAACCGGGTCAGAGTGAAAAACAGGATTCACACAAGGTAAAAAAATAGGTATATAGGGGAGCTTTCTTCAAGGGTCAGTCTGCCGCACTGCTGCGTTTTGGTAAAAATACTACTTAAGATCAAAAGAACAGTAGGAGCAGGAACCAACATCATTAGTTGGCCTGTGTTCATTGTTTTCATTGTTTTCATTTGTGTTTAGACAGCACACATTTGTTTTGGACCCTTTCTGGTAAAGGGAGTGGTTTAAGGTATTTACTGCACCTGTTGTATGTCGGAGTTGGTGGACAAAGATGAGTGAGCCGTGTCGGATATTTTCTGTTGACCGTTTGGTCTTGTTTTAGTATTTGTTTACTTTATTTAACATCCTGAAACAAGACCATTAGCACAGGCTTACTCCTAAAAGCCCACAGAGAGTACAAATATGGCCACTTTCCTGGTTAAAACTGCCATCTTTAATCCTGAAAATGTCAGACATGGACTCAATTATCCCCAAAACCAGTCCAAAATTGTCCGAATCGGCCAAGCCATTTTTAACTATTGTCCACAGGCTATAATGGTAATGCTAATTAACACAACTTATGCTAATTGTGCAAATTGCCCAACAAGTTAGCATCGGGCAGTTTCTATGAGCTGGGGACCCAGACTCTACATTTCTAACATAAAACTATGGTGTGCTGCAAATTTCCGGGTTCACAACAGGACTCTCGGAGCTGGCAACTGAGGATTACAGTATAAAAACGGTTTAATTATTTATTTTTTGTTTATTCCACACATGGTAGTTTTTTTGTAGCGCATGCTGGAAAGGAGCAGGGAAAAGAAAATCTTATTTTACCTGCCCATTCTTACAAAAAAAACAAAAGTTGAAATAACCATACAAAAGTCAAATAAAAGCAATATTCTTTCAGTCACAGTTGCTTACAAATACTGAAACATAAAACCAGAACACAATCAAAAGTCAACTTTATACTTTCTATATGCATTTTCTTAAACATAAAATTGTTCTTAAAGCCCTTTAAATCATACGGTAAACAATTCCACTTCTTTATGCCAAGAGACACACATCTGCTTTAAAGTAATAATTGATGCTTAACATTTCATTTCCTCCTATGATGCTCAACCTCTGAAATTAAAACAAAATTGATACTAGCTAACGCAAATAAACAGGAACAAAAATGTGGAAAGCCTCACCTTGCCATCGAATTTGGAGTATTCATTGAAGGGGTTGTTGAGCTGCTGGGGACACTGCTCCAGACGCAGAGACAGAGTGGATTTGGTGCCCGTCAACCGCGGCCGGTCTTTAAAATCTCGCTTCTCAAACAGCGACCCCAGATCCTCCACTGGACACAAACATGAGAGACAACATGCAGCACACACTTGGGTTATTTTCAAATACATTAATTATAGTGGCGACTGTCTTCTAACTGCAGAGACATGTCCAGATTTCATTCATCTTGCTATCAAAACTACAAAAGTGCTGGAGGAAAGTGCAGCATCATTTATTTAAAAGGGAACTACATTAAAGGGGACCTATCATGCAAAATGCACTTTTGTACGTCTTGTATACATGAATATGTGTCCCCGGTGTTCCAGGGAACTCACCAAGAGTCAGAAAACACAACCCTCTCTCTTTTCCTCCATACCCAAATCTCTTAAAAATGGCTGCAACGGATCTGATACAGACTGATCCAGATTTGAACACTTCTATGACGTCACAGAAGTGGCGCTACGGCTATTGGGCCAACTCCACCAATCAGGAGGAGACAGCGACGGACATTGCCGTTGGAAAGCGCTGGAGACGCTGTAGTACATATGCCAGGCCTGTAGATGGTGCTGTTCTCACAGAATCAGCCCATGCAAAGAGTGTTAAATTGAGCGAAATGAGGAACGGCTAAAATGCATGATCTGTTTGGTATTTTGAAAAACAAAAAGCATAAATATGCCTTATATAGGTATGGTCCTACACTATATTATTCAAATATAGCATGATAGGTCCACTTTAAATGACAATCAAAGGGTAGTAGTTTATTCTGTATACTTTAGTCGTGCAGTCAGTTCATGGAGTCGGACATTTTCAGGAGTTTGTTTTTACCTCGCCACTCTTCAATA